AATTNCCTTTTATAGGGAAAACTTACCTACCAAATGGCTAAATCACCGATGTGGGATTTGCCAAATTCAACAGTATAGTCCCACAAATGGGCTCTGGGGAAGGTAGTGTGTTCGCAGACCCTACCCCTGCCTGGAGAAGTAGAGAGATTGTTTCCAATAGACCCTCAGCAAATCAAACATCTTAGAATTATATAAAATACCCCAATTTCTTTTCAAACAAAGAGAAACTATATAATATATCCACTCAAGAGAGATTGATATGAACTACTTACTGCACATACTTAAGGTTTTTCTTATAGTCACGATGAAGAGGTTATACTCATTAAAATCTAAATCAATTAAAACAGTTCAACCAAAAAGTTGCATCACCAGCTTATTGTTTCCTTAATTTTTCTTTTTAATTGAGTGCATAAGTGATAACCATCATTTATGTCTGCAACAAACATACTTGCAGTTGAAGCAGAAGAATATTTCCCCTCCCTCTCTTCCATAAGGCAAAATTTCAACTTGCTTAAGGTATTCAAACTCATGCCCGTATATACAGCAAAATCATATATGTAAGAATGGGTAATGGATAGTATTGACAAAGCAGAAGCTAAGTGTATATTCTGCAGGGATAAGCTTTTGCCTTAACAGGATTACAAGAGCTAACATTAGAAGAGTAAACCTTAAAACCAAAACCAAGGTATCCTTTAATAAAGAAGCCAAGAAGTAGTTAGTGTTCTGGGCTTCAACCCCGGTAGGTTTTCAGATCTTTGCAATTATGGTGCCTATTGTTTTATCACATAAGCCATAGTAACTACCTTATTGATATGATTATATAGCATCATTCAAGATGCAGGATTCTCCCGAAAAAGAAAAAAGGAGAACACTCTGCCTAAGGAGTCCCTCCAGCAGACTAGGACTTGGTACACAGTCACTTCACTTGAAACTAACAAATTAAGGGCAATCAATACTTTAAATTATCAATAATTTATTTGATTTTTTCTATGGAATCATTTATTTTAATAATTGTGAACTAAACCTCTTATAGGTCCTAAACCAAGGTATATGTATATATAATTCTAACATGTAACTTCGATATGATTATGCTCCGTTGAGAGCTGAAGCCAGTAGTGGATGTATGGCATTAAAGAAGTAACAAGTGTAAAATGTCAAACCAAGAAAATAAGGAGTTCAAACTTTAATTTTCAGACAAGGCTCAATAATATTCAAGCTGAACTAAAGATTGGATCTTTAACAAAGAAAAAGTGCATCCAATACAAATCAAATACCATCCGTACATTCATGGAAAAGAAACTGAAAAATAGTTAAAATCACTTACTATATCTGTAAATATATAGCAAAAGATCAAATTTTTGTAGCAAAAGCACATAAGGATAAGACTGTTGCAGTAAAAAAACTGATAAATTAAGCCTCCCTACTGTCAAAAAATGAAACCTAAATCATTTCTACTAAATTAAAGTTAATGGAATAAGAATTAAACAAAAGTAAAAACTATAGAAATAAACACAAGAAAAAAGTAAAAGAATGCAGAATAAGCCACATTAACATGTCAAACAATGGCAATCAATATTCTACTCAAAAGCTACATAGTTTCAAATCACAAACTCTAATGGCCTCATTTCCAACCCTATACATAAAAACAAAACCCTTCTCTATTCATAAATTCAAAGATAAAGTGATAACCATTCAACAAATCAAAGAATGGAGTGCAAAAGAAAACAAATAAAGATGCCCCAAAAAATGTACCCAAAATCACCAAAATTAAATTAATTTACATGTATTCCTTAGACAAAACAATAATCCCCATTAAATCTACACATGAAATCAATACGGATCGATGAAATTAAAAAGAAGACAACAAATCCAAAAAGGGGAAAAACAAATAGGGAATAATACTAAGAAGAAATAGTGAAATAAAGAAGCAACTAAATTAGTAAAATGGAGGAGTTTTACTGAATATAGAACAACTCAGGCTTTGAGATTTAGAGAAAATAGTAACGGCCCCTTTGTACACTTATTTGACAAAAATTAAAGAAAGCACATTCAAAGTAGGCGAAAAAACCTAAGAGAAAGGAAGTACCAATGTTCTGTGATTTCATCCGCTCAAATTCTAAGACTTGGAATGATGTTAGTTTCTTTCTTTCCTTGGAGTTTTAGAAGCCAAAAAAAATTTCTGCAATTTATTCTTCGAGTAGTCGGATATTACCAAAAAGGTTTCTGCACAATTTCTTTTTCTCTAAAAGAAAGATTGAGAGATGTGTTTGCTTCGAGCAATCGATGCTGGTTTAACAGAGGAAGAAGGTGGTCTTTTACATGGCTTATTTTGGTGGTTTGGTGGAAGTTTTATGGCTGAAATATGGTGGAGAATTGCATTTTTGGTTGGAGAAGAGAATGGGGCTTTGGAGATTTCGTCAGAGGCGCTTTAGGTTTTATGTTTATATTTTTCAAATTAATTAAAAATAAAAAAACAGGGATTATTTTGTTTTGGCGGGTTTAGCAAAATTTAGGGGGAATCTGATGAGGAGAAAAAAATCGTTCCGGTACCAGTTTTTTCCCAAAAATCCGTTCCCATAAATATTTCTATGGGGTGGGTTTAGAAAACTGTTGGGTAAAAAAGTGCTATGGCAACGGTTTAATTGCAATGGTAACAGTTTGATATTAAAAGTGTGCTGATATCGTCCAAATTCTATATGAACGGTGCTATATCCGCTCTATAGCAACGGTATAGCAACGGTTACAAACAAACTGTTGCAATAGGTTCATTTTCTGGTAGTCACTGCCTGAAGAGGTTGACAAAGAAGAATCTTTTGACCTTTCGCCGGGAGCGGGTGCGGGCCATCTCCCCTAGCATGTTCTCACCCACATTGATGGGTCGCCCAGGCATTAGAAAAAATATAATACACACTTGAGCTCGAGCGCATTCACTATTGTGCTCAACTGACATCATTCTAGCTCACACAAAGTTTTACCACACCTTGACAGTCTTATTGAAGTCGAAGCGGATCATCTCAAGAGGAGCATCTCCCTTAGTCCTTGTCCACTTTGCATTAGAATCTACACCAAAAAGAGTGTGACGTATTGCCTGGTAGCTTGGGCATTTGACAAACTTTGGTAGCGTTTATGGTTTAGGGTTATCAACTCCCAAAAATTCGCATAAGGAACGTCTATCCATTGACACCTCCTTTCTTTGGAACCATGACTTGAACAAGTCGTTGTTCCAACTGGCATAAAGTTCTTGCACCATGCTCAAATTTGCATGGCCCGGGCACTCTATGAGCTTATCCATCCTTATTTCTACCAATCGGGCATGCACATCCGGGAAGTTCTTTTCCAGAGTTTTCACATTAATCCCCATTTCGGAGACATATCGCTCATTTGGCACAAAGTTATTATACCATTGGATGACATTCTCACGAACTAGATCTAAATGAGGCATTGTCCTGATGGTGACTTTACATATAATTTTTACAATAATTATTTGTAAAATAAAATTAAAAATAATTTGGATTAGCTAATATTTTCTATGCGAAAAATAATACTTTAAAGTATAATCTACTTGGCTTCAGCAACTCACACTTTCATGTTTCATACTGTTAGGGGTCGTTTGGTATGAGGTATATAAGAAGGTATAAGGGTGGTATAAAAATTTAATATCATCTTAATACTATATTTGGTTAGCAAATCAGGTATAAGTTATCCCGGTGTTAATTTTAACACCGAATAACTCATACCTTATAGAGGGTGGGGTAATTAGCACTGGTATAACTTATACCTTCTTCTTAGAAATTATGCAATTGGTATTCTTAATACAACATACTAAACAGTGAATAAACAACAATCCCAGTATAACTAATCTCAGCATAACTTATCCCAACATAACTTATAGCGGCATAAGCCGTAATCCAACCAAACGACCCCTTAGAGCACTACATGAAATAATGTTTTTGGTGACAACATTAATGGCGACCTTTACCACAAGTTGTGCTATATTTATTTTTGCTTCGTGTTTTTGTTTTCTTTGTTTTTCCTTATGTTTATTTTGGGTGGAATTTTTTTAGCTTCTCCAGCATTTCTAAAATGCAAAGGAACATAGTTCCAAAAAGATGGTTGTTTTGCTTAAATGAACACACAAGCAAAACATGAATATATCAGTCGAAAACAAAGACCTAGCTACTGAATTGTTTTTTTATGAATTATTGAGTTGTAGGTCAAGGTCTGTGGACCGACATATGCCTTATGAGCTGTGGCCCTTCTTTTCTTCCATTACCCATTTCATATCAACCCTTTTATTTATTTTATTTTCTTCTTTGACTTAAAAGGGTGTGAGAGAATCTTTCATACAGCAAAAACAACGAAAGCAAACACATTAATAATTTTTTTTTGGCAGCTTCTTTTTGTTGTTTTGTAGAGATGAAGGAATTAAAGAATCTAGTAATAGATATTTGGGACAAACTTTGCCGTATTTATGTTATCAAACTGAAGTTATTTGAATTTTTGACTTGAAATATTTTTGTCATGGTCCCTACACCAGTTAATACTCTTACTTGATAATTAGTGCAGAGAAGATATGTGCAACAGTAGTAAAGATATCTTGGCTTAATTTGTGTTATATATTGAATAGAGGAAGATTTCTTGATTTCTTCTCTACCAAATACTTAGTTTGGAAAACTATCATTGTATATGCCTCATCTCATTGGAAAACTATCATTTATCTGGTAATGATTTCTCTGGATCGCTCATTTCACCTAGATTTGGTGAATTTTCTAGCTTGACACATCTTAAACGTGTCAAAATATATACACTATCACTTCATAAGTCTTATCGCTCTAAAAATTCTTCCCATTAATGTTTGAATCGATTCAGGATCAGAAATATGTGCAACAGATGAACGAAGAAGAGATAAGAATGGTCCGGAGAAAAGTGTGGAAATGAACGACTAAGGCTCCAAAGTAGAGCCAATTCTCATTATATACAGTCACAAGAGTGTTGGGTTAAAACCCGTACATAAATGGGTATTCAATTACAATAATTAATCACATGTCTAATACAAAAATGAAACTAGCTAAAGTAAGCCCAAATACAGGAATGCATATATCTCAACAATTAAAGATTCACCACAGAACGTGCATATGAATTAGACCGAAAATGCCAACTTTAAATTTTACTCTAAAAAATTTCCCATTAAAGCTTCCTGGAATTGATTACTGCAAAGCAACAATAGTAAATTTTCTTTGCTATATATACCTCAGAATTATTCAATAAAGGAACAAAGCAAAGATTTCTTGATTGTTTTGATTCTTTATAGTGCAGAAATGGATTATGAAAATCTTGCATTGATTATGCTATATGCCCTTCTCTGTAGACTTGCTTTCTCCTCATCCTTACCTCACTTGTGCCCCAAAGATCAAGCTCTTGCTCTTCTACAATTCAAACAGATGTTTACCATAAATCCTTTTGTTTCTGCTTCACTTTACTGCTACGCATCTTCTCCCAATTCTTATCCAACAATACTATCATGGAATAGGAGCAGAGATTGCTGCTCATGGGAAGGAGTTAAATGTGACGAGACAACAGGACAAGTGATTGAGCTTAACCTCAGTTGCAGTCAACTTCAAGGCAAGTTTCATTCCAACAGTAGTCTCTTCAAACTCTCCAATCTCAAAAGGCTTGATTTATCTCGTAATAATTTCTCTGGATCGCACATTTCGCCAAAATTTGGTGAGTTTTCTGGTTTGACACATCTTGATTTATCAAATTCAAACTTTTCAGGTCAAATTCCTTTAGAAATCTCTCATCTTTCTAAGTTATACGTTCTTCTTATCAATGATGATGATCTGAGACTTGGACCTCACAATTTTGAACTGCTCCTTAAGAACTTGACCCAATTAAGAGAGCTTGAGCTTGATTATGTCAACATCTCTTCCACCATTCCACTAAATTTCTCTTCTTATTTAACAATTCTACGGCTTCCCGTCACGCAATTATATGGGACATTGCCTAAAAGAGTTTATCACCTTCCCAACTTGAAATATCTTTCGTTATCGCGCAATACCCAGCTGACATTTGGATTTCCAATGACCAAATGGAATAGCAGCACATCTCTCACGAATTTATATCTCAATAGTGTGAATTTTGCTGGTAATATACCTGAATCATTTAGCTATTTAACTTTATTGTATGCACTGGACATGGGCTCTTGTAATCTCTAAGGGCCTATTCAAAAACCTCTATGGAATCTAACTCAAATAGAGGTTTTAAACCTTGAAAATAACCAACTTGAAGGACCAATTTCCCAGCTCTTCAGATATGGTAATCTCCGGTATTTGTCGCTTAGTAATAACAACTTTGATGGCCGACTTGAGTGCTTGAATGGGACACAACTTGAGTACTTAGATATTTGGTCCAATTACCTAACTGGTCCAATTCCTTCTAGTGTATTCTCCCTCTCATCACTAGAATGGTTAGACTTGAGCAACAACCATTTAAGTGGAAAAATTGAAGAGTTCAAGTCCAAAACATTGGAGTACGTTGGTCTAACACAAAATAAGCTGCAAGGTCCTATTCCAAAGTCACTCCTAAACCAGCATAATCTATTAGCACTTCTCCTTTCTCAAAATAATCTCAGTGGACAGATTGCTTCAACCATCTGCAATCTTAAAACAGTGCAGTTGCTAGATCTGGGAAGTAATAATTTACAGGGAACAATCCCAGAATGTTTGGGTGAGATGGATAGAACTTATGTTTTGGATTTAAGCAATAATAATTTTAGTGGGACAATTCAAGCAAATTTTAGTATTGGAAACCGATTCAGAGTCATTAAATTGCATGGGAATAAGTTAGAGGGAAAAGTCCCAAGATCTTTGATCAATTGCAAGTATTTGGAACTACTTGATTTAGGTAACAATGAGTTGAACGACACTTTTCCAAAATGGTTGGGAATCCTATCAAATTTGAAGATATTAAATTTAAGATCAAATAAGTTGCATGGGTCCATCAGAGCTTCAAGGAATGAAAACTTGTTTGCACAACTTCAAATTATGGATCTTTCATCCAATGAATTTAGTGGGAATTTACCAGCAAATCTTTTTGAGAACTTTCAAGCTATGAAACGAATTGATGAGAACAGGACCACACCAAGGTTTGTAGGAGATGAATTTGATTTTGTGACCATTACAACAAAGGGATTGGATCTTGTATTTGTTAAAGTTTTGACTACAAACATAGTTATTGATCTCTCAAAGAATGGATTTAAAGGTCAAATTTCAAGTACTATTGGAGATCTCATCGGACTTCGTACGTTGAACTTATCTCACAATGGCTTAGAAGGTCTTATACCAGCATCATTGAAACATTTGTATGTACTTGAATCATTGGATCTCTCGTTTAACAAAATTGGTGGAGGAATTCCGCAACAACTTGCATCTCTAACATCTCTTGCGGTCTTAAATCTCTCTCACAGTCATCTCGTTGGATGCATCCCTAAAGGAAATCAATTTGATACTTTTGGGAACAGTTCATACCAAGAGAATGTTGGGTTACGTGGATTTCCACTCTCAAGAGGCTGTGGTGATGATGGAGTAACAGAAGCGACAACTCCAGTTGTGCTAGATCAAGGAGAAGACGAAGATTCATCAATGATCAGTTGGCAGGCGGTTCTCATGGGTTACGGTTGTGGATTAATTATTGGACTATCCATAATATACATAATCTCAACTCAAAATCCATTATGGTTTTCCAGGATGGTTGTAGAATTGGAACACAGAATCGTTACAAGAATGAAAAAACACAAGAAAAGATATTAGTGTGTCCAGGTATTCAACTTGATCTCTACGCAAATTCTTTTGATTATTGATATTTTATGATCTAACTAACCATTTTAACTCTAATTCTTAATTCATTTTTGAACATTGCAGGTTTCAAGTCTAATAAGTTGCTGGAGATGCAAATATAAACCTTTGTCTTTCATAGTCTATTATGATGTTTCTTGAAGTGTTTGTTACCATATGAATAAAGACATGAGTTTTCTTCCTTTGTGACTCAAACACGATTTGTTTTCATTTATCTATAGTTTGTTACGTAGCGATTATTAGCTGAGTTCATGGTCTCAAATTATATCATTGCTTTTTATATCACTATAATTATTAATTGACTAATTGGATTCGATTGCAAAGTCATTTCATAAATTTATGAAGTTATTCTTATCTTTTTCTTAATTACATGAAGTAATTGTGAACGCTACAGTGTGAAAACACAAAATTAGAAAAACTGTTAGAAGGAAAAAAAACTATAAAACAGTAAACTATAAGAAATATTCCGAGTCCACAATTTGCTTGTGCGTCCTTAAGGAATTTTAACCCCCTCACACATTGCCAAGGTAATGGATTAAATCCTCTTAGGATGAAACGGAATAAACCTTCCTGCAACAGTGGCAATACAAACTGCAGGATACCAACGAACTCAAAGAACGGAGCAAAATCACACTTACGAATTTTAGAAGAGATTCTGTGAAGTAAAATGCAGGATTTTCAGAAGGAAGGAAGTTCTATATCTTTTTCAGTGTGTCGAAAAAGAAGCCATGCCTCAGAATTTATAGGCAATTATCGGAAAAAGGTGTGATGTCTGTTCAGGAAAAAGTGTCTGTTCAGGAGGGAAAGCAATGTTTAGCAAAGGCTTTTGGATTCCAGTTAATTCCGTTAATGAACGGTGGCATTTAATTAATTATTAAATAATTAATTAAATAAATTTTGTCCAAAATAATCTTATCGATCGTTTTCCAAATCCAAAGCCAAAGCCAAAGCCGAAGCCGAAGCCGAAGCCGAGCCGAGCGAGCAACGACGACGGCGCGAGGGTTCATTCTCTTCAACTCCTTTTAAGAGCTCTAAGAAGTGATCCTATATTTATACACACAAGTGTAGTTGTCTTTCACCAATGTGGTACAAAGTTCATGACAAAAGCTCACTTGATTCAAATTTTCATTTCCCTCCATTTTATTTCCCACCATTTCCCAATTCACACTCTTAGACTTTAAAGCCCAATGCTTAAAGTCCAACAATCCCCCACATGAATGGGAATGGCTGTAACAAGAATGATCATCGATGAAAGTTGTGTGATTTGCAAGTAAGGATTAATTGCATCTGGATAAGTAGGTTTCCCTTTGAACTTTCCGTAGTGAACATATGTCGGATATACTCGGTCAATCGGTAGATTTGATATCTTTGAACCGTCGAACTTTAGTGTATACCTAGACAACTATATGTCACACAATCAACCCTTAACCGTCTTTTGGTTCTCATTGTTGTGTTCGTTTTAGCCATGAACACCGCCTGGTTTCATAAGTGTGTAGAGAATTGGCCTTACAGAATTCTCATTGAAGCGGCTTCCACTTCACACTTACATAGGTGATTCCTAAACATGTAATCCTTTAGATTGACACTATTTGATAAATACCACATCAAACTTAGGTAATCATTAAAGAACGTGTAAGTTCTATCCTTGTTACTGAACATTGTCTTCATCACGAGAAGGGACCATAGATTTTACTTTGACAATGTTGAACCGGTCAATCACAACTTTGTTTGAGCTCCTTGAACCTAGATCTTGGAATATCCAAAATTCTAGGTAGAGTTACCGCCATTGACTTGTCCTTGGCCATAGTCCCATTCCCTTAGATGATTTCTCAACTCCCTCTCTAGTTAAGCCTTTTGTAAGCGGATCCGCCACATTATCCTTTGATCTTACATAATCAATAGTGATAATTCCACTAGAAAGTAGTTGTCTAACGGTGTTATGTCTTCGTCATATATGACATGACTTTCCGTTATACATAACGTTCCCTGCCCGTCCTATTGCAGCCTCACTATCGCAATGTATGCATATAGGAGCCAAAGGTTTTGGCCAGAACGGAATGTCTTCTAAGAAATTTCGAAGCCATTCAGCTTCTTCGCCGGCCTTATCCAAAGCTATAAACTCTTATTCCATTGTAGAGCGAGCGATGCACGTCTGTTTGGAAGACTTCCAAGATACTGCTCCTCCACCAATAGTAAAAACATATCCACTTGCGAACTTTGTTTCTGTTGAGCCGGTTATCCAATTCACATCACTATATCCTTCGATAACCGTAGGATATTTATTGTAATGTAAAGCGTAGTCTTGGGTATATTCCAAATATCCCAAAACTCGTTTCATTGCCACCCAATGATGTTTGTTGGGATTACTTGTGAATCGACTAAGTTTACTTATTGCACAAGCTATATCAGGATGTGTACAGTTCAAGATATATATTAGGCTTCCCAATACACGAGCATACTCCAATTGAGACGTACTTTCACCTTTATTCTTTATAAGATGATGGTTTAAGTCAATTGGAGTTCTTGCACTTCTAAATTCCAAGTGTTTGAATTTTTCAAGTACCATTTTCACGTAATGTGATTGAGACAAAGCTAGACCCTGAGGAGTCCTCTGGATTTTAATTCCTAGAATTATATCGGCAACTCCTAAGTCTTTCATATCAAACTTACTAGCAAGCACGCTTAGTAGCTTGAATGTCGGCAATGTCTTTGCTCATTATTAGCATATCATCAACATATAAGCAAACAATTGCTATATGATTTGGAACGTTCTTAATGTAAACACACTTATCACATTCATTAATCTTAAAGACATTTGACAACATTGTTTGGTCAAATTTCGCATGCCATTTCTTAGGTGCTTGTTTTAGTGCATAAAGGGACTTAACAAGTCGACACACCTTCTTTTCTTTTTCCGGAATCATAAACCCTTCAGGTTGGTTCATGTAAATTTCTTCCTCTAGATCACCATTTAAGAAGGCTGTTTTTACATCCATTTGATGGATTTGAAGACCATACAAGGCGGCTAATGCTATTAGCATCCGAATGGATGTAATTCTTGTTACCGGTGAGTATGTGTCAAAATAGTCAAGACCTTCTCACTGTCTAAATCCTTTGACAACAAGTCTTGCCTTGTATTTGTCAATAGTACCATCGTCTTTCATTTTCTTCTCGAAACTCCATTTAGAACCCAATGTTTTGTTACCTGGAGGAAGATCAACCAATTCCCAGGTATGGTTGCTCAATATGGATTCTATTTCACTATTGACAACTTCTTTCCAATATTGTGCTTCTGAGGAAGAGATTGTTTCCTTGAAGGTACGAGGCTCATTTTCTAGCAGGAAAGTCAGAAAATCTGGACCAAATGAAGTAGATGTCCGTTGACGTTTACTTCTTCTCGGATTTTCCTCATTAGGCATACCATTTATTATTTCCTCCCGAGGTCGTTTTGACTTTTGGTAGGTCAATTCACTTTCC